AATGGGGCACAATGTTGCACCATCACTCTCTTATCATATTTCAAGCATTATTCAACACAAACTGCAGGTGTGAAGGAGGAGGAGGAGGTGCCGCATCGGAACGTTTTTTCTCGTGAAGATAACAGTTTGTGTGTTTTGTTTTGGGTGTTGTTATTCTTTCAGTTTTGGGACGCATGGCCGAATAATAGCATGCCATTGGACCAAGCTTAACCTTTGGCCGGCAAATGCACGACAAGTCCCTAATTGTCAGTTTCCTTGTACCTTAGCTTGATGTAGTCGAAGGCCTTGTTGACGCAAAGGGCCAGGTTGGACGGGAGGGTCCAAGGCGTCGTCGTCCAGGCAAGCAGGCTTACCTGACGCAATGTTGGGGTCAAGCCATTAACCAATAATAACCAATAATAACGTCACCAACGTGTGACCTCTACGCATGTACTGCAACAGCATGACGCCTTTCCGTCCACGTAGATTTGAGCATGTGAGAACGGTCTAGAGCGGTATGTACATTGGTGAGCAGGCCGACAAAGCAACTCGTGCGCAACAACAAATACATTATTCTCCCACACTTCCGAACTCGACATCCTGCCCTGAGAACACATGGTTTCCAAAAACAATATCAAACAGCATGGCAAACATCATATCCAACAGCCAGAAAACACACTAATCGTTTTCACCGAACACCCTAAGAGGAAAAAAAAATGTCGGGCGTGGTTTACACATCCCGAGACGCGAGATCTCGTGAGAGGCCTCCTCGAGCGTGCTTTAGATGTCGCCCACTCGTTTCTTGGAAAAAAAGCCAGCATGAGCGGCGTTCGTTCCCAGTCCACGGGCTGCTTTTGGCCGCCTTGTGCGCCGCAAACGCCATTTCCCCGGGGCTAAGCACACGGCCGCTCCGGGGCTTTACGGGCGAGGCAGTGACTCTAATAGGCGGCCGGCTGTTTCGTTTGCTTCCGGAAACGTCAGCACAAACGTCCACTACGAACCGCCCAACCGGCAATGAAGATTGTCCATAAAGACACTTCTATTCAACCCTTTGGGCGCAAAAATGGGGTGAGTTCTTGGTTGTACGTCTCCACTACGACGGGGCAGGGTCATCGAAAGAGCGGCCACAAATACGCTGCAGAACACTAAGACGACGGGCGCTAGCAAACATCGTAACCAAATGACAAATCCGCAGTGCATACATACACGCGGGGTCGAGAAGCACACACATGTGAAGCGTCCAAACGCGGAAAAAAAAACGGGCGGCGCGCCAAGCCAAAAACCTGCGGCACGGCTCAAGCCCTCGTCCGCAAAACAGCGGTGCCGACAAGGGGCGTCGCCGAAAACAACTACTTCAAAGTACATCAAAAACTATCAGGATATACTCCGGTTGATAACTACCTCTTACTCAACAACGGTTCACTTCCACTTCTTCATGGACGTGCATAGAGCTGCTTCGGCTGTTGCGCACAAAAACGGGGCAAAACAAGAAACTCCCCCCCCCAAAAAAGCGCCCATGTGTTTGAGTTGGCCATACGTTTCATTGGGCGAAACGGGGCCCAACAAGGCATGCACGTTGCCTTCAGCGTAGAAGAATTCAAAATACACCACCGAGCAAAGAACGCACCAACGATGCCACCAAACACTAACCTCGGGATCGTCCCTGAGAGGGAAGGCCACAACCACCGCGGGGTCCTGGACGTCCTTGTAGTTAAGACCGGCCTCGAAGTTGCTGAGCGGGGTCGCGCAGGCCGTGGAGAATGGCATTACCTTGTACCCTCGGTACACCAGGTTCTTCTCCACCAAGCTCTTGAACACCCACCACACGCTCTCCATGAACCAGGGGTCCTGGAGCGGGGAGGCGTTCGCAAGAGCAAGTTGTCGGCAATACGTCGTACGAATATTTCGAACGTGGGCGGGGTAACTGGATGCCGGACCGCAGGCAGTTTCAGTGCGACCGATTGAAGGGCTGTCGAACGGGCCACTGAGTCCTTTTGTGCAGCAACGGTCAAAGTCAAAGAGTGTGCGTGTGTGGACCAATTGCTTGGTGCAATGAGGAACGAGAGAGGAAAGGAGGTGGGGACGGCAGTACACAAGCCAACACCCAACACGGCTTGATGTCCCGCTCGCTCACCATGGTCTTGTAGTCGTTCTCGAAGTCGATCCATCGTCCCAGGCGCTTGATCGTGCGCTCCCACTCCTTCGAGTACCGAGTCACGATGCTCCTGCAGTGCTTGTTGTATGTCTCGATGCCCATCTCGAGGACCTATGGGGTAAATGGACGAAGGGGAGAAACAACAACATCGGCGAGATAGGTGTCAGAGACGTCAACATTCAAAACCAACGTGGCTTCTATCCGAGGTTTCAAACAGTTTGGCCGGAAATAAAGGACAGCACGAAATGAGTAGAAACATCGGTATGCAACGTGTCGCATCTTCAAAGAAACAGGTCGACGAAAAGAACGCATCTTTTGAGCGGCAGGCGCCGAATCTTCGACGAATGCACGCCCGCAATCGACCGGGGCAGTCTCCCTCGGCCACACACGTGAAACGCACACACAACACACACCTGGTCGCGGTGTTTGATTCCGAGAGACTGGTCGATCTCGTACTCCACGGGGAGGCCGTGGCAGTCCCACCCCGCCCTGCGGGAGACGTGGTGCCCAGACTGGTGCGCATACCGGGTGACCGCATCCTTGATCGTGCCTGATGCCACAGAGGGGAACAGCGTAGAGCGGGACGGGGGGGGGGGGGGGGGGGGAACGAAGCCGGCGTTGAAGGGGTAAGAAACCCGCGCTAGGCAGTGTGNCCACTTGTCTAGGAATCAAACATGCGGCGCGATAGTCGACTGATGTGTGTGAGGCGGACACCGCTCTCGCCAATCTCTTCGGAACACCCCGCCTACAACATTAAACGTGCACCATCGTCGGCTTTCCGTTCTCGTGGCAACCTTGAGCCCTCTGCGGAAGCACGCTTCTACCCTGACGACGGCCAAATATCTACCGACACATGCCTTTTCCTCTTACCCGCAAGGATGTGGCCGTAATGAGGGAGACCGGTCGCAAACGGCGGGCCATCGTAAAAGGTGAAGTCGGGCCTGCCCTCACTGAGCCGGAGAGTCTCCTTGAAGGTGTCGTTTTTCTCCCAGGACGCCTGGGCTTGTCCGTCGAACGTCATGAAGTAGCAACACAACCAAAAACGAGGTTGGTCGGATGAACGTCACGACGCAGAACAAGGGGAGCACGGCGACAAGCGGCGGCGGGGGAGGGGGGGCGCGGTGAGAATGTCGGTCGTTGACTACTACAGCTGTACAGCGGCAATTTACACGATCGTGCACGAGCAGGTGCACCAGAACAGCTACCGCTGTATAGATGAAGAGAAATCGTAGCATGCGAGATGGAGTCTTCTAATGTTTTCTGTGAAGTCAAGGCAAAAAGCGGAGATCACCAAGGCGGGATTGCGTAGGGGGCAAGCTCGTCAAGCCTGTTCGCAGGCAAAGCGCCTGTTCACCAGAACAGCTACCGCTGTATAGCTGGAGATTTTTCGTAGCATGCGAGATGGAGTCTTCTAATGTTTTCTGTCAAGTCAAGGCAAAGAGCGGAGATCACCAAGGCGGGATTGCCTAGGGGGCAAGCTCGTCATGCCTGTTGGCAGGCAAAGCGCCTGTTGGATAAAATGTGATCTTCAACTTTTCTGTGTTTGCAGCAATTGCACAACACACCACGAATGGACAAATCAAGGGCAAGTACCTGCTGCAAATTTACCTACACCCGTGCTATACACAACGGATAGTCTTACTCGACCTACAGCGGTAATGAACCACAGCGGGGGGGACAATCCAGCAAGCTTTTGTAGCTCACCGCGACAAGCTCTTCCTCGGCGGGGAAGTCCATCTCACCCACGATATCCTTCATGAACGCTTGTCCCTGTCAAATCCAGCGGGGGGGGTGTTTTCACGGCAAGGGGGACGAGAACAGGGGTTAGGCAGGCACCAACAACCACCACAACCGTTCAAAGGACGTTGGCTGCAGGCAGTCAGGAGGCCGAACTGCTGCTGAGGTAGACGTGGGGGGAGGGATGCCGTAGATGGTTCTTGATTCAATTCCGGAGAATTAAGTCAAGCCATCGCCCAGCGCCCACACTACGGCAAGCACACAATGCCCTCGGACATTATTATTATTATTATTTTGTTTGCCCTCCGACAATTGTAGATAAATGCAGACATAAATAAAAAGTCGATCTTAAAAGGAAATTGTCGCGTTAAGCTCTGCTTGCAACACAAGTTGTACGAACAATGTGGCGTCGTCGGGGAAGCGGGTGGCGTGGAGGTGACTTGACTGTTGAAGTTTCGCCCAACAACCGCCTTCCAGCGAATCCGTGAAGTAAGGTGCACGCACCAACAACTGCACGGCCAACACGCATCAATGGGCCACGGCTAAGGTAACGATGCAATCCGCCTGCACGTTGATGTCTTCCAGAAGGCCGAGGGCCGCTGTGAGCCAAGAACCGAGGTGGGCGAAGGCCAGCAATAAAAAACATCAATGCCCAATGCGAGCGGCGAAACGACTGATGCCGCAAACAACAACGGCGTGAAGCAGAGGCAATCAGAACACGTAGCACAGACCTCGGGCATCGATTGCCCCGACCCTGTACACCAAGCACGTGTACATATCTCAACGCCGTCCAGGCGCGCCCCCTGCCCTCCGCCGTTCGTTCAGCGCACACGAGAAACATCAGTCGGAAACTACGGTACAGCAGACTGGTTGTTGAAGTAACTCGCAACACACCTCCGTGGGCTGTTCATCATCCGCCATAGCGAAATCGTCTCGTAGCTCTTAACTAACGCGGCCCTTGCCCTGTGAGGGGGCAGCGCAAGGTGTGGTGAGATGCTGCGAAGCAACACAGAAGTGTTCAGCACGGGGGCGCGCAAACAGCTCAAGCCCATACGCAAAGCATGTCACTGTGAACATTCTGCGTCTCCCCCTCATTAAGGCACGGAGCTGTGCGGTCCATACGGAACAGGCGGCGTGGGTCGAGAGCACATGGCAACGTGGGTCCACGAGTCTCCTTCCGATCTCGTTGCTGGACTCTTCGTGTCTGCCACCGCCAAGTTCAGTGTGCTGGAGATCGCGGCGACACCTTCGGGAGCCTCGACCAATAGGGCCATGGCGGACGCGGCTGCTGCTGCTGTGAAAGCTGCGGACATCGTCATGTCGGAAGCTGCTGCTCCGGCTGCCAATGCTGCTGCCGCTACGGGCAAGAAGGGAGAGGGGGGCAAGCAGAAGAGCGGGGCTCCGGCCGCTGCGCAAGCGCCTGTGGCGAAAGGTACGCTGGCAGCAGAAGCAACACGGATTGCGAATGGTAAAGGATTTTGAACGGACATGGAGCCGAGGTTTCTCGATCGCAGCGGGGCGTGATATCGTTCAAGAGGACACAACAGCAGCAGTAGCAGCAACAGCAGCAGCAGCAGCAGCAGCAGCAGCAGAAAAACTTTTCCGCTGCGTGGATAACCGATGTATAGCACTGGTATGTTGGTTCAAGTTTTCTCACTTGATACCTGTTATCCAATTAGTCATGTGTGCCAATACAGGCACCAATGTTGCTGGCAATTGGTGACCTGTCTCCTTGTCTGCGGCTCTGCTCCTTTCTTCCTGGCTCTCTAGGGCGAGCTACATACAGCTCTCCGTCCGAGGAGTTCCCGTAAGTCATTGCGCGGATGCCACACGCCACTGCTGCATTTGTGTGGCCTTTTTGGTGTCTTGGGAATTTCCCGCTTGCAGCCCTCGCGTTCTGAACAGCAATGCACATCTCATTTTGGTGGCAGACACACCCATCTGGGATGGATGCGACTGAATAGGAAGTTGACCCATTTGCCAAGTGACTTGAGATGGAGATTCCGCAGCTCCTTCTACCGATCATCAAAGCCCGATCACTCCACGACGAGGATGCAAAATTCAAAGCGTGTTCGGAAAGCCTTTCGACGAGAGAGGCGGTTCCAATACCGCCATTGTCGGCACCGTTGTTGCTGGTGCTGCAGAGCAATCGGGCGTTGAAATCGGGCCAGAGGCCGCTGGTATCTTGTACCCTATCTTCCGCAACCTACCGCAACATTGCCAACAGAACCAGACCTTTGCCGCCAACGCCCAGCACGGCGGTGACAGAGAGAGTTGATCAGACTATTGTACGCACTTCGAGTTCTTTTGTGTGTGGTAGTATTTGTGAGCTGTGAAAACCCGTACAATATCCACAATGTTATTCCCCAGTTCTGAAAACCCGGACAACATTCACGTGGTACAATACATTGAGCAAACGATTTACTTTATTTCGGCAATTCGAGGGACTTGCACCCCCGCTCTGTGTATGGTTCCCTGCAGCTCACCGCTCTGCTGTGTCCGTCCCTCTCTGTTTTGGCCGATCAAAACCCTTTGATCCCAACCGCAGAGGAACCAAAGTCGTTCGCGCGAAGGGACCGGCTCGCCGCCATGGAGGGCCCGGCCCAGGAGCGGTGGAGATCGGACAAGATCTTCGAGGCAAACGCGGAGTTCAACGAGGACGGCTCCCCCAAGGACAAGTTCATGGTCACCTTCCCCTACCCCTACATGAACGGACGCCTTCACCTCGGACACGCCTACTCCATGACCAAGGTAAGAGAGGCAATCTCGTGAGTGTTGGTTGAGCGTTTCTGTCTTCAGGAGAGGTGTCAATTTTGGCCAAATGGCGCGGGCACAGCCACGAAGAAAAGACCAAGTGCGGGATAAGAATGATTGTTGTTGCTGTTGCGACGCTACAGGTGTTGGCGCCGTTCGCCATCATGCTGTTGCGTTCGTCATTTTTCGTGAGAAGCAACTGGAAGAAACATCGAACGTCATGGTCTAGGTATCTCCTCCTTACCGCACAGCTTGCGTTAATAACCTCCAACCCCCAACATTTGTTTTTTCAACCTCGCCTCCTCGTCCGCAGTGCGAGTTCGCCGTGCAGTACCAGCGCCTCAAGGGAAAGAACGCCTTGTTCCCTTTCGGCTTCCACTGCACGGGCATGCCGATCCAGGCCGCCGCCAACAAGCTCAAGACCGAGATAGAGACGTGAGCGGTCGAGATACCTGCTGCTTTTTTTTGTTGTTGTGCGCATGCGGATCGATTTTTTAAATGCCGGTATTTGTGAGAACTGCTGTCTTGTCGAGATTGTGTTGAAACGGAGACATGAGACGTGAGGTGACGACGGGGGTTGCTCTGCTGCTCTCGCGTATGGGCTCTCCTGGGGAGTTGGCAATGGCGCAGGGATTGGCGAGCCTCCTACGGACGCCGCGCCTTGTTACTCACTCACACGCGTTGTGATCCAGACTTGTGTATGTTGCTGATTTTCTCAGCAATTGATGGGAAAATATTGCGAAATTGTGCCATCGCTTGCTTGTACCGATCTTCTACTTTGCAGCACACTTTGTTTTTGCCGCGAATCTCTGCCGTAGTTGTTGACGCTTTTCAATACCTTTCGAGCCCTTGCACCGGCTCTCATGTTCGCCGCACGGCTCTCTCTGTCTCTTTGGCTACCTCGAGCGTGTACGATTTTTCAGTGACTCAACGTGTGCACCTTTTCGATCTTTCTGCCAATACAATCCAAAGGTTCGGATGCCCGCCCAACTTCGGAGCCGCGGCCGAGGAGAAGCGGAAGGCGGAGGAGGAGGCTGCCAAGGCAGATGACAAGGAGGTGCGGAGTGTGTGCGGGGGCGAATAGGGGGATCCACGGCTGCGGTCGTATCTACTGTCGTTAGGTGCACGGCTGCGAACGAACGAAGAGAGAGGGAGGATTGTTGCATGGGTAACACAGCTGCGTACCCGCCCCCCTCGTGTGCGCTGTTTGGCCAATCAGGTGGCGGTGGAGAAGAAGGGTAAGGGGGGCAAGACCAAGCTCATCGCTAAAACCGGGGGTGCAGAGGTTCGCCAGTGGGACATCATGAAGATGATGGTGCCGGGTGAGTGGATAAAGATTACTTTATTGCTCATGGTGCATTGGTACGAATAGCTATAGATAGGGTGTCCTGTTTATGAAGGCGCTTTTCGGTGGAACTGTTCTGCTTTTTACCGGCGGGATGACATGACAGGCATTGACGTTTATTTCGGTGGGTATTGACTCCCGGAACGTGCTCGAGATTGTGATACACGGGGCGTTGCGCGGAGTTGGGGAGGTACACCTGGAGGTCGTTGAAAGGTCAGCGATGTTGCGGAAAGGCATCGTTGATGGGGCCGCGGAAGAGAAAGGTTTGTCTTCATTCGGACAGTTGCAGCTTCCTCTGATCGCCGTAGGTACACAGCCGTTCCTTTGCATATCTCCTCGCGGGATGCTTGACCCACGGGTGCCAATTCCCTTTGACAAGGGTTCCTGTTCGAGGTGTAGATCTCCCAGCACCTGGCGCTATCACCATCCCCGATGTGCGTTGCTTCCCCAAACCTCCACCTCCCCTTGTTGTGTTCCTTATTGTGATTTCAGTAGATTTCGGATGCCCCGACCGGTGCGCGGGCTCTCCGTTCAATCCGTTCCACTATGAGCTCGATTTTTTGTTCTGGTGGTGTGCCGTTGCCCAGCCATCATTCCCTCAACACAGCCCCCTTACCCCCACCATGGTTCTTGTTTTTTTATTTCGCTGCTGTAGAGGACGAGATCCACAGCTTCACGGACCCCCTCAAGTGGCTGGAGTATTTCCCCCCCAGGGGCCGCGACGACATGATCAAGTTCGGCACGGCGGTGGACTGGAGGCGTTCCTTCGTGACGACCTCGGTCAACCCTTACTACGACAGCTTCACCCGTTGGCAGTTCAACACCCTCAAGGTGAGCGAGCACCCCACCCCGCCCGCTTGCACGATACAATACCGCGTTTCTTCTCGTTATCTTCCTGGTTTTGAGAACATTTGCTGCTTGTTGACTTAACCTTTTCGAGTCAGCTAGACACGCATGTGACCTACCACTCCCCTGCTGGCATGCCACTTGATCATGTCGTGGAACCCCCCTGCATCCCGACCGCCTCCCTCTGTTTTACCCACTGCAGAAGGCCATCGACAAGGTCAAGTTCGGCACCGGTGTGACCATGGATGATGTGCACCCCCCACGCCCCCCCTGTCCTCATGTCACGACCCCCCCCCCCCCCCCCCCCCCCCCCCCCCCCCCCCCCCCCCCCCCCCCCCCCCCCCCCCCCCCCCCCCCCCCCCCCC